AGCTCTTCCATATTTTTGGAAGCAAAAGTGCTCCAGCTGCTTGACACTGAAAATAAAGGTGATTTGCAAAGTCTTGCCTTTTAGTTTGCCAAGCACTGTGTGCTTTCTTGCAAAGATGATGGCTTGGGGTTTCTCTGGTTTATTTTGAAAACAAAGCAATTGGGAAACAAATTGTGGCCTCAGTGGCAGAAATATTGCTTTTGTAAAAGGAAAAAAGCTCCAAAAAACAACAAAACAAAAAACGTGAGTGAGTAACAGCAAATACCTGCAGGGGGGAAAAAATAAAATAGGAGCATACTGGGGAAATTGGCTTTCAATTGGCATTGGGGAGCTTCACAAGGGGGCTGGCTTGATGCTGCCTTCACCTTTCACAAGGTTTGGCTGGTAGCTGGTGCTTTGATATGTGCAACTACTACTAACATTTCATAATATGACAATCCAAGAGGTGAAATAGCTTTTGTATTTTAAAATCCATTAAGAACAGCTGCAACTAAGTGCTGATGGATGCATCCTCACTTTACTAAATCAATGTCTCCTTTGTTGAGTTATACGAAGCTGTTTCATTGCCATGCAGATGGGAGATGCTAAAAAAAAAAAAAGAAAAAAATTAAATAAAGGAGATTTAAAATCTGTTATAGCACACTTGTTATAGCACACTACATGTTAGCATTAGCTGTCCCTAGTAGAAACAACTAGAAATATCATATACAAAAATAAAAGAGTAAAATAAAAACGGAATTAGCATTTGAAGTGACAGTTCTGAAATGCTAAAAAAGCTTATCTCAAAACTGCATGTTTCTGGGTGGGAGAAGGATTTCTAGGACATGCTTTTTCCCTAAGTGAATTTTCCAAGAGTCCCAAGTGTTATTTGCCTTCTAGTTCTGTAGTGTCAATATGGATTTCTCATACCAATTTCCACATAGCCTGCCCCTACAGTGAAAACATCTTGTGTTTAGAAAACGTATTACGACATTTAAACATGTTTATTGTATTTAACAGTAAAAGTGTATGTGGAGAAAAAGTTATTTTCTTTAAAAAATGCCTGGTGGCCAGCATTAGGGTTAACCCACAAGCTTGTTTTAAGCAGTGTTTTTAAAATAAACTTTTCTAGATGCCTAGACAGGATCCTAAGAAGCAAACGGACCCGATGGTTTTTCTTTGCTTGTTGGCTTTTGGGGTATTCCAGTTTAGTTCCTCGTGAAGCCTCATGATGAAACACCTACCAAGGCTCACCGAAGCACGAAGGTTTAGTTGGCCGTAACGAAATAACCACTTACAGAGGCTACGGGAGAAGAAGGTTTAGTTAGTCTGAAGGAGAATTGGGCTGTGGAAAGCTTTAGCACAATAGCCGATTGTCAAAGAACACTGCTCTAGCAAGCTCTCTGCTTGCCAGGGGCGAGCCCAGGGGCAGGAGTAGCTTAAAAAAGAAGTGAAGAAAGACCTGAAACTATTTGCTAATGTGGTAACAAGCACTACCTTTATTATGAACCAACTGACTCATGGAGGAGGTTGTTTTGGTTTTTAAACCGGCATGCTCATTCCGTGCTATATGAACTGATCTCCAAGTCCTCGTAAGGATAATCCGTGGTGAGGCCAGTCTATGATTAGTGTTCAGTGGCTATCATATCTTCTGTTACTGACAGCAGTAATAAAATGTATTCTCCAAGTGCGGACAGGACCTATTTGATAATCAGCCTCAAACCTTGAGTCCTAGGGGAGAATGCAGAATGCTGTCTGTGCCTGCACGGAGCTCTCAGCAGGATAAACCTCTGATTAGTGACGTGGAGGGTGGAGTGGATGTAAGTTTAATGTTATGTGCCAGCTCACATTAGACAACCTTGTGCAACTCTGTCAGTTTTGGAATGCAGTTCGATTACCTTATCTAACTGGAGAGCTTGAACAATAGGATTTAAACTTCTGGAATACAACTGACTAGGCTAAATGCTATTTTTAGGAACATAGATAGGTAAGTTAACATATATGTATATGATTAACTTACCTATTTGCATATAGATTATACAGGTATATAACTTATGCATGTGTCTTCCCAGTTACGGGCACCTGCAGCACTCTGAACACCTCACTTGCTACTCTCTAAATTCCCCCTGGCTGCTGAGGTGCTTCCAGTTGATGTGTGTAATACGGATGCTCCGTATACATTTTTCCCCTCCAACCTCACTGCAAGTTCTTTATGTCCTTTATACTTACTATTCGTATACTGGGCTGCATATTCATCTGCAAGTCTGTCAACACAGTTCACCTCCCGCAATCAGAAAATGGTGATTAAATGAACATCCAAGTACAGAAGCTGTCAACCTCGTGTTCATCTTTTTTAAAGTTAAAAAAAAAAATTCAATTACCTTTTGCACTCATATGGCTCTGAAAAGGTCTTTAAAAAAAAAGTTTCTTCCACGATCGTAAAACAAAATCAAAGGTCAATGCCGATCACATAATTTTTAGCATTTACAGGAAAAATAAAGAAAAATCATGTCTGTAAAAAAAGTTTATGCTGCAAACCCTGCAGTTCTCTGTCTTCTAGGGTGGGTTGTAATAGCTCCTAAAAGGAGCTTGCCTGGGGAATTTAGCTTTTAACCACAACAAGGTACTGTTTGTTTTAGCTATCTGTTTCAGCATTTGGTCCATCTCATGGGACGGTCTTTGAGACTTTGTTTCAGGATTAGGTTACAGATAGAGTATGACAAGGAAAGGGAAAAAAAATATCCTTATTTATATCCTCTTACTTGCATAGGGAAAAAATGCAGAATTTTATATATGTGCCATCGACCTGAGAGGGAACACAATCCGCTCTCAAACTACAGAGTGAACACAACTTCTGTAGTGCGTGCAACAACTTTGACCTCCGTGCAATTACTCCAGGCTTACATCAATATAACAGTGCCGGCTTTCTCTTCAGTTATTTCCCGGGAGTGGCAGGCTCTCTTCCCGCAGCGCTTATTTATTTCGAATTGGCCTAATTTGCTCAACAATTTGCACATCCCTTCTTTGGCATCCCGCGTTTCCCGGACGGCGGGAGCTGGGGCTGTCGGGGCCTCCCCGTCCGTGGCCGTCGGTCCCTGCCCCGGGGGAGCGGGCACGGAGCTCGGCACCGCCCGGCACCGGCGGGCACCGAGCCCTCCCGAGGGAAGCACCGCGGCCGGGGCCCGGCGCTGAGCGATTCTTACGGATGAGTAAGCAGCAAATGTGGTAACTCAGGCCAACAGCTCTGCAATTAGGGCTATAATTTCAGGTGTAGCCAGCAGTCGCAATGAATATTTATTTCATCGTACCGAATAAAAGAAATGGCCCGGCTAAATAGCACGGGGAGTTGCGTGGGGTCCTTTGGTTTGGAGAGCTGGGGGGCTACCAGCGGGGACCCCCCTCGTCCCGAGTGGGACAGACTCCCTATCCCCGCGGCAGGCTCATGCCCTGGTTCCTGCCCGAGCCCAGCCCGGCCCGGTCCGTTCCCGGGCAGGAGGGTGAGGAAGGCAGCGTGCAGCAGCCGCCTT